TTGATGTTATATTTGTTTCTTTGTTCGTTTTGTTATTGTGTACGAGATAATATTTGTAAGCATATTTTTCCGTTTGAAAAATCAACGAAACAAGAGAAAAAAAAACAATGTTTCGAGATAAATAATTTTATTTTATTCAATTATAGTAACAAAAATGTTTCTGAGTTTTGATTGATTATAATCATACTTTGATTAAGATATTAGTAATTTATGATAAAACTTCAAATATCCAATTATTCAAGTACAATCGAAACTAATTTCACTGACACTCACAACTCGACGAGTTATACCCATTAATACTCACTTTGTAGAATTAAAGGAAAAAAGTGCATGCTCAACACAGACTATCAACTCGATTCTCGACACATTGATACTCAACTCATCCTCATGTACACCCATAATCTCATGATGCATCTTTTCATTCAAATATACGCCATCTCCATATCACTTATTTTGAATGCATTTGTTTGTTGAAAATGTATAAACAGTCGAACATCACAACAATTTTCACTAAACATCGGATATGAATATATTACACGTAAGCTGCAACCAACTTATATTCATTAACACCCACATAAGTAGTCAATTAACTTGTCTGCATACAATTATAAGAAATTTCATAATGTACTTTTAGTGAATGCAATTTAAAATACGAGAAAAAAAAATGTAAAAGTAAGAAAAAATAACTGAAAACAAAAAAATATAAGACCTAAAACATATAATAAGATTATTTCGAATTTAAAAACATGTCAGTAGTATCCACTTCGTATTGATAAACATCATGTTATACAGTGCGATATACCTTCTTATGACTTTTATATCTCAAAAACTCCTAAAATTATCGACTCATAGATGATAAAATTGTATTTACATCTGATTGAAATCCAACTTATATTTAGAAATATTGAACTCATTTGACAATCTGAAGAAACTGGTTTTGAATTATCTTCACATGTTATTTTATTCGCAAGTATATGTCAAAATATGTAGTAATACACCAAATCATTCATCAGAATGAAAGTGACACATAATTAACATCCTTTTCATACTTAATATAGTCTTGATTTACATTCATCGACAACCATCATTATAGACTAAAAGTTGTTCTGTGAACTATTTTATTCAAAAAGAATGTGATAACTTTTTCTTCGGATCGTTAACGCTGTTTTATGCTATAGTAAGTATCAATCAGATGTACATACAATTTTGTCATGTGTTTTGTAATTGTATGCAGACAAGTTAATTGACTACTTATGTGGGTGTTAATGAAAAGAAGTTGGTTGTAGCTAACATGCAATATATTCATATGGAATGTTTAGTGAAAATTTTTGTGATGTTCGACTGTTTTCATGTTTTCAACAAACAAATGCATTCAAAATAAGTAATGAGGAGATGACATATATTTGGGTGAAAAGATAAATCATGAGACTGTGAGTGTTAGTGAAATTAGTTACGGTCATCCTTGAAAAGTTGGGTATTTTGAGTATTAGCACAAATTACTAATATCCATTTAATTTGAATGAAAATTTTTAAATCAACCAAAGTAAAGTATGGAATATCTAATTGATTAATATCAATAATGAATATATTTCCTTTGGTATTGTTTGTGGCATAAAGTGACGCATTTCTAATAAAAGACATTTCAAAATTTAGAGTTTTTAAATTCTAATTTTTAACTATTTAAAGATTAATACATATTATTGAACATAAGGATAAAGATGAATATCATTGTCCTATGCATATTGAATATGTATCAAGTACATTTCGATCAATTTGAGTACAGTTTAATGATGGATTCATTTTTAAAAAATAATTTAGTTTTTGTATTAAACATCTTTTCACTGCTTTAGTTCATAGTTGCCCTGATCGAGTTAAGGAATCATGAGTTCGTTGAAGGGTTACCCTCGGATGACAAAAAAAAACTTGTGTTTATTACAAAAGAAAGCTAACGACCGAAATAAAACAACTAATAAAATTTGTAAGATAATTGAACAAATAAATTTTCCAGTCTCCATTTATAGAGCTCTGATAAGTCAAACTTTTTCGATTCTACCTCTGAAAACTTTGATATTCTTTTTTTTTGATTGACTAGCATTAAGTAGTGACTTGAATAGAGAAAATTGTGTTCAAGAAGAATTTGAGAAGTGTAAACTCTTTATTGTATTCTAAAAACAAAAGAATTTTTATGGAATCCCGAATCTAGTTTTTCAGCATTTAGAACCGGAAAATAAAAGCTTCTTTTGATTACATCAAGCGACAGAGTAACTAATTCTTCACAAAATAATACGCCTTCGAGCGATCCATGACTTTGTTTTAATGAACTACACCTATACTAAGAAACGCCTACAAATTCTTTTTTTGTCATTGCCTAAGGAAAATCAGACAAAAAAGGATTTTTAATCTTTTCTTAAAATTTACGTAGTTCAGTCAAACATTGTCATGACGAGCTCAAAGATCTGTCATTTCGTAGAGAATTAGTTGCCCTGTCGCCCGACATAATCAAAAGAAGCGTTTATTTTCATGTTCTAGATATTGAAAAACTATATGTAGGGTTTTTAGAAATTCCGGATTTGTAGAATATTGTGAAAAGTTTATTATTTATGTGAATTACCATTACGAGAAAAAAAGCGAAATTAAATCTGTTTGATCGATTTTTGGAACCACTATTAGAGACTTGCGAAGTCATGTTTTTTAACTCCGAAAATATTTTCTTTGTTTTTTTTTCTATTTCATGTTATTTGACTATTGGATTGACAGTTTTAATTTACTGAACGTTACAATTGTCAAAAAATAAATGCTACATAACAAAAGAATAAAATAAACTTTCCGAAGCTCGATACAGAACTCTAACATATTGATTAATTGAATCAATATAAACAAAAATCGATCACAAATATATATATATGAAGTTTTTTGAAAAATTTTCAATAAGAATAATAACTAAATAATAAATTAAAGGTATTAGTTTCATAGTCATTATTAAAATAATTCTAAATATCAATCAGAAAAAATTATAACTGATGTTAACGATATGATCAAAAGGATAAATTACATGCTAAAAGGATCAACTATAAAAAAATCAAGCTTAATAATTTTTATTTTTTGCTATTACATAACTAATGAACGATGAGTATTTTCAATATCTACTCAGAAAATGTTCACAATAAAATAAACAACAAAACTTAAGAATAATTATTTACACACTTGTTGAACCTCATATCAATAATCTATTAAGACCGAAGTGTTATTCAGTTGTTTTTTTTTGTTATTTTTAGATTCTAACGATGAAAATCCAGTAAAAAATATAGAAACGTTTTTTCTGTAAATGACATTTCGATGTCTCATATTGTTCGCATATGATAAATATTGAACTTGTCAATTATCTTCAACTATGATTGGTAAGTGCATGAGCTTTCAATTCATTTTTTTGTTATGTGTAGGCGTTTGAGATTAACAGATTATCTATTGTATAAGAAAAGTGCTTACCATTTTCTTTTTCTTAAATAGATAATTGATGCTAAAAATCATTGAAGTAGACCAACTGATCGAAGTTCGAAAAAGACTCCCTGCGGTTACAAGATCATTAACAATAAGAATGAAACAATTCCTAAGAAAAAGAAAGAGATAGAGAAAGAAAAAGAGAAAAAGAGAGAGAGATAGAGAGAAAAACAAGAATAGTAGCAAAATATAAAACACTTGTTATATTCTCTTCATCTCTATTCATATTCGGAAAAAATCTCATACAAACGCTTCTCTTCTCTTTCTCATTTATCTTTAGTGTACTATATCAATAAATAATGTGTCTCCGTTGGTCATTCATATTGATATTTGTTTCAATAATATTATATCAAATTTCATATATTCATTCAACTCCAATTATTTCTGGATCATCTAGTCATATTCTTGATGAAAGTGATGATGAATATCAACATGCATACAATGGTTTTATTTATTTTATTAAAAATATTCTTGATGAAAGAAGTATATATGAACAAGCAACACTACTTAATCAATTACGTGAGTATCTTAATCGTATGTGTATTGCTGGAATTTTTGGACCATCACATTCTGATGCATGTCAACGTGTAGCTGATATTCTTCATCAAACTTATATACATAATCATAGAAATGATGATGAAAATAATGATACATCCAATGAAACACATGGAATACAAAAACGTTTCTTTTGTAATGGTTTTATTGGCTGTAAAAATGTTTCTGGATGACTGTCAAATAATCACAATAGTGGAAAGAAGAAGAAAAAAATTAAACAATTATTTGAACGCAAGAGAATATTATTGTGAAGTTTTATTTCGACGAGATCCATAAAATAAAAAGAAATAAATCCTGTTTTTTTTCTTTTTTTTTCTTTTTCTTTTTTCTTTTTATCTATTCATTATCGATAAAAGTATATTTCCTTCACGAATACCACTTTCTAATGCACCATGAACAGTTGCATAAGCTCTTTCACTTGTTGCTTCACCAGCAAATTGTATTCGTGGAATCTAAAGAATGAAACAAGGAAAAAGCATATTTTAATTCATCATTTTCTAATTATCATAAATGCATAAAGATTCATTTATTTCAATATATATATATTTTCAATAACTAATTCCTGTCTAATCAAATTATTTTTGATGTTTTTCTTGATAGAATTAGACGATTCATCACTATTATAAATATCATTACGGAAAATAGAATATTCCGACTTTGTTTTTGTTTTTATTGTTCTATGAGAATCAGAGACATACCCCGTCTGGTGCGTAAGCAGCTCTTAATTTTTCTCCATCTTTTGCCGATGATTTTATGGAATAATATGAATAAGATCCACGAATGAATCTGTTTTTATTCCATTCACTTCTAAACATAATTCCAAAGAAATATAAAAATTATACAATTCATATGATAATGAGAATAATATAATACTTTAGTACACGAATTATTTTATTTAATTTCGAAGATATATTTAAATAATAACATAAAACTTCATGGCAAATTTGACCAATAATATATTCACTAAGATCTTCTAATAAAACAGCAGCTGGACCACCAAACCAACAGATTATAATAGGAACATTCGTTGATGGCAATACTTCATATCGATGAATAGCTTCAATAATTGTATTAACTACTTGAACATCAATTTTCTCTGTCTTTAATAAGTTCTTCAATGAGTCAGAAAATTGAATTGACTTTTGTTTTTGTGCATGCAATAGAATAATGTCGCCAACATTGTCTGGCCAAAATGATTTTTCATAGACCGTTATGACCTAAAGAAAAATCTTAAAATTTTCTTTTTTTAATAAATAATTATTTTACTTTATTAATTGAATCAATTCCAAGATTATTAATTGCATCTCGTTTTTGTTCAATTAGCTCAATTTCATCAGCAAATATTGAAGAAAAATTTTCTTTTAAATAACCTAATGAACTTGTCCATATGATATGATCACATAATATTGTACTTAGTTGTTGTTGTTCAGATGTTTTATTATGATGTCGAATATCAACAAGTAATTGATGATTTTCTTTAAGATATTTTACTCGAATTACTTCAGAATTTAAACGAATTCGATTATCATTTGATATGAACGATTTCATATAAGAAATAAATGGACGATAGCCACCATTTTTAAATTCAGTTTTAAATAATCCATCGAGAGATTGATATGAACCGTATTCTAAATAGAAAATATAATATAAACAAAAAATTCAATAATTTATTCTACCTGCTAAACTTAAATCCGATAATTTAAAACAACCATTTTCAATAAGTTCAACTTTATAGAAAAAATCACAAAATGCATCGACTAAATTGTTTAAAGAAGGTATTGAAGATAATAAACGTTCTTTCAAATGCTTGTGAAGATAATCAGAAAATGATTCATGTATTGGTATCGTTTTGTCATCAAATTTTGCTTGAGCATCATGAAAGAATTCGTCCCAAACAATAAAAACTTGTCTTACTATTTCGGGATCAATTGTAGTTTGATCTGATGTTATAGCAAGCATTTCTACATAAACAACAACAAAAAAAAAAAAGAAAACAACACGAGAAATTAAATTTTTCAAATTTTTCTTTTTTTAATTATTTAATCATTTCTTGAAATAAACATACCATTACATTTAATATCTGTAACAGGTAAAATACAATTCAATGGTTTACAAATGTCATAAAGAATATTATTTACTTCTCCATGAATAAATTGAGCACCCTAATAATATTAATAAAATTAAGAACGTAACAAAAAAAAAAAAATAATTATCCATTATTTACCATATCAACACTAACATTTGGAACTGATGTAAAATAAAAAGATTATTTATATAAAAACGAAAAACACAAATAACCTGCATCAACTGTATGAATACGACCACCTATATAACTTTGGGCTTCGATGAGTAAATAATCAACGTTTGAGCCTAGTGTTTTAGCAGCAGCAAGACCGGCTGCACCACCACCAACAATGATTACCTTGGTAGACTCCATTACAAACACGTTTATTTTTGCTGCTTTTTACTTTTTCTATCTTGTTTTTTACACCTTTCTACATATGCCTATATATATATACCGTATGTAAAAGCATTATTAGACACCCTGTATTACTTGTCTTGTGAAGCATATTTCACAAGCAAAAGAAAATATTTTTTTTGATTTTCATTATATCATTCGATAGACCGAAGTCTCTACTTTATTCAACAAAAAAAAAATTTCTTTCAAGAAAGTTTTCATAAAATTTTTCAGTTTTTTTTATGAAATGTTTGATTCCTTACGCTAAAAAATTACTTGGACGATTGAGATTTTGCTTTTATAGAAACTTCATTCCGCATCAAAAAATGTTGAGTTATGCGTCATTCGATAGAGAAAACAATTGTCTATACGTTGATGTGTATTGAAACGAAAATAATTTTGACAATACTTCGAAAATTTCGAAATACCTGAAGTCCCATAGGTTTTACAGAGACCTTGAATTTTTTTAGGTTTGATAAAACGAAAAGCCAACTTAAAGGACATGATTGGATAGAGGACAAAAAAACTGAACCGAATTATCTCTTTGATTTCTGACAACGATTGAAAAAAGTCATATTAATTGCTAATTAAAATTAATATTTCATATAGATCTTCAATAATTTTGTTTTTTAAGTTGTAAAATCAAATTGAAAATTTTTGTTTTCAATGATATAATCTTCTTAGAGAATAAAATTCTGTAGAAAATGATGTTCTTGGGTAAGCGGTAATTGTTTTTTTTTTGAATATGATGAGACTCAATCTTTTCAAATCGCTTTTCAGTGTAGAAACGAGAGGAAAAAAGATTTGTTCCGTTCTGTCGACTTATATATATTTCACCAGCATGATGTATACTAGCAATATAACAGGAAATGTTTTTCTTTTTCTTTGGTTTCTACACTGTACAGCGTATTTCAAAAGATAGGGTCTCATCATATTTAAAAAAAGAAGCCAATTATCGCTTACCCAAGAACATCATTTTCTACAGAATTTTATTCTCTAAGAAGATTATATCATTGAAAAAAAGAATTTTCAATTTGATTTTACAGCTTAAAAAGCAAAATTATTGAAGATCTATATGAAATATTAATTTTAATTAGAAATTAATGTGACTTTTTTCAATCATTGTCAGAAATCAAAGAGATAATTCGGTTCAGTTTTTTTGTCCTCTATCGAATGATGTCATTTAAGTTGGCTTTTCGTTTTATTAAACCTAAAAAACTTCAAGGTCTCTGTAAAACCTATGGGACTTCAGGTATTTCGAAATTTTCGAAGTATTGTCAAAATTATTTTCGTTTCAATACACATCAACGTATAGACANAATAATGAAGCATATAAAATTAGTAGGTTGATCAACGAAAAAAAAAAAGATACATTTATCAGGAAATCAATATTTATTTTCAAAAAGGTTGTTAATGTATTTGATATATGATAGATAGAGTGCTACTAATCGAGTTTAGGAAATAATTGAACTTGTAGTTTTTGACAGAGTTGATATGTTTTATAGTTAGTCGAAAACAGATGAAAAATAAACACTAATGTTGATTTTTAAGCATTAAAATTGGTAAATAAGTTCAATTCAATTAACGACGAAACGTTTCGAAATGTGTCTCGTCAATCGAATTGATATTTTGCTGATAAGTAGACTTCAACGAGACCCACAGAATTTTATAAAGGTTCGTTCACATGCGTACTCCTTCCCAAATTATGACAATGTTACTGAGTTTTTTTTTTTTATCTGTGACAAAGTATTTGTGAAAAATTGAATTATGAAATTTCAACCTGGAATCTTACCTATAGGTAGGTCGCGTGTATCTTAGAAAGGCACGAAAATTTGAGCTTAAAGAAATGTATTCTTCTTGAGATATTAAATATATGCAAAAACAATCATGTATTACAAGAAAACGTAAAAGAAGGCCCAATGTTTTCAATATTCGAAATCTCAAGAAGAACACATCTCTTTAGACAGAAATTTCCAGGCCATTCTAGGGTTCACGCTACCTACCTATAAGCAAAGTGTCAGGTTGAAATTTCAACGATACAGAGAAGAATACAAATAAACTGCGTTGCCATTTCAAGATAACGAAGCATTTATTCATCACTCATCCGTTCTTATCTCCAATATGTGCAAAGAAAATTAATCTAGCTGATAATGAATTAATTTTTTTCAATAAATAATATTGCGTTTTTTCTCTTAGTTATTCAACTAAATGCACTACTTGGCAAAAAAGGTCATTCTCTAAAAGATTTAAATGATTATTGGGATGTAGCAACTTATTTTGAATTACATGCTGTCCTACATGATTGGTCAAAAGCATGTCAAGCAGCTTTACATATGTATTTACTTAATCCTCCAATATGGTATTTAAAATCTACAATAAATAATTTAAAAATGCTTCATAAAGGAACATGCTTACGTGATCAAGAACGATTATCATGTGAACAATCATCAATAACAACTGCTCATGAACATATATACAGTTTTTGGATAGAGTTTTTTAGTGATGCTATTAATTCTAATTCAACATCATCTGAAGAAAGAGAATTACCAGCTCAAGTACCAGTATGTTTTCCAAATGAAAAAAAAAAACAACGTTGTTCTTTAATAAAAAAAAGACTTATTAATTTAGATTCTTGTTTGTGATAATTATGAAAAAAGTGATGGAGAACCAGTAAATAATATTTATGTTGAAGCAAATTTGCATTTAAATTTTCATACGGGTCAAGAACCTGAAACACTTGTTATACGTATTCTTGAACAACAAAAACATATACGTAAAGGTGATCTTGTTAAAACAGTTGATATGAATTCAATTAGATCAATTATGTAAGATTTTATGCTAAGAAAAAAAAATAATTTGGAATATATATTTTCTTTTCTTGTTCTTAATTTAAAGAAATGTTAAACGTGACAATCGATCTATTTTTTTATATGCATATGAAAATTCTGAAACATTCTCATCTGTTGAACTTCAAATTTATTTTTCATCAGCTGAACGACGTACAGCGTAGGTTGATCGATTGCAACAGTATAAAGTCGTATTTTTCAACGTGTCTTTTTTCTATAGATTTAATGAAAAAATGTCCAAATATCGTGGAGAAACAAATGCTGAAGAAACTAAATTAGAGTTAAATGTAAGTAATAAAAACCGTAATGAATAAAAATTATGATAGATGCTTGTCGAATATGTATAAAAAATTATAAAAAAGAATTGTTCTTATCGCTTTCGATGCTCAGTTTTGATAGTCGCTTTAAATTTTTCAGAATATCTTTAATATTCTTGTAAAATTTAAAATTGATTATCCATCAATGATTTATGCATCAAACATACACATATATAGTATCAATGCGTAATTCAATGTTAAGTAGACTTTACACAATTAACTTATCATTAATATTAACCTCATGAAGAAACCTTGCCAACTTGAAAATCGATTTTGACCTCGAACTCTGTGTATAAGATAGATCCTAATCAGATAAGAAAAACTCCGAAAAGGATAAGGATGTCTAGGTTTTTCCTACAGGGACAGAGTCGTTTTATTGAAATTTTAGCCTATAGGATGGAATGTACTAAAAAATCGAGTGACGATATTTTGACCTTAAACTTTGTCCATAGATACGCCTGCTTGTAACTAGAATGTTCTGGAAATTTCAACTGAAAACAATGTTTCCTTCGCAACATATTGAATTGCCAAAAGACATGAGGTTCTCAAATCTTTCGCAGAATATGAGTGATTTTTGGTGAATTTAATATTTCATAAAGAGAACATTCTTTTAATATGAAATATTCAGGACATTCTAGTTACAAGTAGACTTATCTATGAATAAGATTTCAGGTCAAAATATTATAATTGGATTCTTTTCTATATGTCATGCTATAGAGTAAAATTTCAGTAAAATGTTTATGATTGTGCAGGGAATACTTGTGGGATCTTATCGATAATCAAAATTTTTTATTATTGTTATGCCTCGTATGTAATATGTGTCATAAGACAAACGCGGTAAAGGTAAAATTTACATATGTTCATTCTTTCTTTTTATACATATACATATACAAAGACGCTCAAAATTATTCGCACATTTGACAAATAGTCTTGTTGTTCTAATATCGTTGCAATAATTCGACCTTTCGAGTTCCGGCTTTCATCAAAATGTAGCTGAAGTTGTCTAGTATATTGGCAGAAATTTTCATCTTGATTAACCAAATATCTGATATTCTTAAAGTAAAAATATCAAAATTGTAGAGTTTCGATTTTGCTCGAAATTATTCGTACACTTAACCGTTTATACTTTTTCTGTGCGTTTGTGCATCCTACGCCTTGTTTGTCTTGTTAATATAATATAGATCGGCTAAAACGCTGATGCTTCATTCCGCTCTCTTGTTCTATTATAACCTTCGAGTGCTATTTCATGCTCAAAATATATGGCAGTTCTTTTCTGCAACATTTGAAAGAAAACATGATCAAGTAACAAAATTCTTCTCTTTTTATTCTAATTACGTGCTCGCTGTTGGAATGTTCTCTGGAAAAAGAAATGAAAGTTTGATTCTCTTCCTATTCAACCGAAGAGGCTCACGATATTATCGAATGAATTTTGAAAACATTTTAGTGAAATAGCTTGATTGAAAGAAAAAAATAATATTCAGACAACTCACGAACTTTAAAAATGAATCGTTATTTGAATGGAGATTCATTAGGTGAAATTGTCAAGTATATGAATATTTCACGATCAACGATTCAGTATATTTTGAAGAAATACAAAAGGTACAAATGGGTAAAAAACTTTCCTGGTCGCGGAAGAAAGAAAGTTATGACATAAAGAGTAGACAGTTTTATACGAAGAACATAAATTGCTCAACGACAAAAATCATTTATGTCACTTAAAATTGAAATGGAAAGTCAATTAGAAATGACAATATCGACGGCAACGATAAAACACCAAATAAATGAAGTTGCTTATTCGGGACGGCTCGCGCGAAAAAAGCCTTTAGTGAGCAATATTAATAAATTAAAACTTTGAAAAGAATTATCACTTTTGGGAAAAAATCATATGGTTTGCTGAGGCCAAATTTAATTTATTTGATTCTGGTGCCAAAGTAATTATTTGGAGAAAAGCTAATGAAGAATACAGTCAAGATTGTATATTACCAATAGTTAAACATCATGGCGGCAATGTAAAAATGTGGGGCTGCTTCAGTCGAAAAGGAACAAACAATCTTGTTTTTATCGATGGAACTTTAACAGATGAAAAATACAAAGAGATTTTGAACAAAAAATCTTTTTCAATCAACTCGAAAAATTATATCAAGATCAAATTTTATATTTCAACATGATAGTGATCCTAAACATTGAGTACAAATTGTATCAGATTGATTGGATGAAAAACATCTAAAACGTCTCACCTGGATATCGTAAAGTTCTGATGTCAACCCTATTGAACATTTATGTACCGAACTTGATCGGCGGATACGAAAACGTACACCACTGAAAAATGAATATGAGCTGAAGGAAATATTGTTACAAGAATGAATAAAAAAAAAAACAGAACTTTCCAGTGCGATATTAATAGAGTTATACAAGAAAAAAAATGAAAAAAATAAAAAATCATCATGTTTCTTTCTGCTATTATATTAGAAAAAAGACATAATAGTATTATTAGTTATATTTAACGATACCCTATGAAGAGACTCAAATGTAATTGACAAGATTGAAATTGAAACTAATTCAATTTCTTTTTTTTCATAAAGCTGATGTCATTTTATTGTGTGAAAGGTGAGGTGTACGAATAATTTTGAGCGGAACGGAAACTCTACAATTTTGATCTGTTCACTTTAAGAATGTCAAATATTTGGTTAATCAAAATGAAAATTTCTGCCAATATACTAGACAACTTCAGCTATATTTTGATAAAAGTCGGAAATCGAAAAGTCGAATTATTGCAAAGATATTAGAACAACAAGACTATTTGTCAACTGTACGAATAATTTTGAGCGCCTTTGTAGGTTGTTAACTATAGCGATATCTTTTCTTGCGTTCTGTCAGGTATTTTTCCTAGTGTCTATTTGTTTTATTGTAATAGCTTGTTTATTTTTTCAATTGTATTATGCTATTTATTCGTAAACTCCCTATTGTCTCTAATATTCGATATATATACCTGCTGTTCTATGTGAAATGGATCCAGTCTATCTATCTAATAATATCTAGTTTGTTTAAACATCATAAATAAATGGAATCTAGTTATACTAGATGAGAACTGGAATTTTGTTGTTGAGATTTTCTTTAAATGATTAATGGTCTAATAGTTGATTTACACATGCTATGTTCCAAAGTCCAAATATTAGCTGACTTAGCATAATGTTTTAGCATTGAAATTGTAATCATTAGTATTATTCTTTGATTCTTCTTGACTCCCGTTTGAATGTTAAACATGCCTTATTGAATAGGACCTAATAGAACTACCTGTAACTTTTAATCAATAGTTCATTTATTCGCTATTGTGTCGCTGTATTTGACTTACTGTATAACAGATAAGATTACGAGACGAGTTGGTGAGTCCTATCTTACTAACCAGCAGGACAGGAAAAACCTTTTAGCTAGATCCTGCTTCGTAGAGCAAGACAACAGAACAGTCCTATCCTGTACTTAACTATAATGTAACAGAGTCATCTTTTAAGGAAGAACGAGAATATTTAAGATGTTGCATCAGTTTGTACTCAAGTCATCATACACTTTCATCTAGTGTGAGACATGTGAATTTATGTGTAAGAATTCGATAGATGCAACATCTTCCGTAAATTAAAATTCCATATCATCTTAAAAGACAACAGTTCATTAAAGGAACAAAATATTTGATCAGTAAGATAGATTAAATGATTAGTAAAAAAATATGTAAATGATCGGTATAAAGATTTAATGATTAGTACTAAAATTATCAGGAAATAATAAGAAAATGATCAGTTTATTAGATATAAATATCAGTAAAAAATACAATTTATTGCAGTAAAAAATAACCATTTGATCAGTAGAAAAATAAGTTTTAATCGTATTGAGTACAGTAGTATGAGAGAAAAAAATAAGAAAAAATCCGAAAGGATATTCAATAGAAATCCAAAGAATAAGTAAGAAAAAGAGATAATGAAAATGAAAGTATTGTAGTGGGAAAGCGGATTTAGTCCTAGCTGGTCTACCTTCTTTTCTTTTCTCGCCAGTTGGAATTTTTTGTTATGGTTCCTCGTGCTTTGTGGTATTTTAAACGAATAGTCATTTTCTTCTACAACTTTATCTGATAGACCGATTTCATTTAGTTTAACCTGTACCACTTTCATCTGATTTACTTGTTAACACTTCGCTGATTGTGAGGGAGAGAATCAGAACAAAGAGTATATATTAGCGTTCGATGTCGGATTGAAAAAGCAGTATTCTTTAAAATCTCTACTGATCCCTAGATAGATATCGGATTGGAATACATATTGCCGAAATGTGTTAAAACAACCGTATTCCTGGCATTGCAACCATCAATATAGAGACCAAGTTTGAACTCAAACACTTATGGATAATTTTTCATTAAGCATGCCCTTCTATAAAAACTTATCCATATCTTCCAGAGTTCTATTTCACCTTTTTCATCAATGATTATATTACCCGAAATACCAATGTTTCAAAACAGTTCAGTGGCAAGTATTCCAATCCAATATCTATCTAGGAACAAGTAGACGTTTCAACAAAAACTGCTATCCAAATCCGACATTGAACAAATCCAAAGTGGCAATATCAGATTAACTTAAATGGATTTGAGATTGAACTGAATCTGAGACTGGACGCTATTATATATATTTCGTACGTGTTATCTGTACAGCATAGTAGAATACAGAAAGAAAAGAAGAAGAAAAAAGAGTTCTACTAGGACACATTTGAATTTTTATACTCCTCTTTTTATTTGATTTACTGTTAAATAATTATATTCACTGATTCTCAAATTTATTTACAAATCTTATTAATTAATAGCTGATCATTGAAATATTTTACTGATCACTTAGATCGTAGCCATTTTTTTAATTATGTAAAATGATTTTTGACTTAAGTCAAGATTCTTCAACTGATTAATTTTAGGTGGAATTTGATCGTGATCAACATGGTCAACGTATTGCACTTGGTCAAGGTACATATGGAAAAGTTTATCTAGCACACGATCGTATAACATGGCAAGCATTTGCTGTCAAAGAAATTCCAATGCGTAATCCATCTTATACAGAAGCTCTCGAAAATGAAATTAAAATATTATCAACACTTAATCATAAAAATAGTTCGTTATTTTTCTCTAAATAAATCAATAAAAATTTATTTATTTATTATTTTTTCAGTTGTTAGTTATTATGGTACAGCTATTGATTTGAAGAAAAAACCTCCAATCTTTCAAGTTATGATGGAATATGTTGATGGGTTAGAACAAAATAAAAAAATTACAATTATTTGTCTTAGAATAAAATAGATTAATGGATTTGTTTCTTTTTATTTTCATTCTAGTGGTAGTCTTTCAAAACTTCTTTCGAAATTTGGACAATTTCCTGAACCATCTATTAGAAAATATACTCGACAGCTTCTTGACGGTCTACAATATTTACATGAAAATCATATTTTACATCGAGATATTAAATCAGCTAATATTCTTATTAATTTAAGAGGGTAATTAAAATAAATTTAAGCGAATTTATCGCTCTCTTTTTTTTTGGTCCATTACGAATTCTCAAAAAGTGTTCAACCGATCCACATGAAATTCTTACTGCAGAGAGAGAGAGAGAGAGTATCTAAAATAACCAGACATGCGTTCGAAGAAAAAAGTTATCACTCATCTCTAATTTTGTCCGAATAGATAGACTGAAACTTCGACTACACAGATAAAAAAAGAAAGCAAGAATTCTGAAAAAGTTTAAATCATCTCTGAGATATAGTCTAAAGTATCTTGAAAAAATTTTCAGCCCGATCAGACAAAGTATCGATGTGATTTTATGGAAAACCAGAATTTTCCGAAAAAACTGCGAAGATCTTGTTTAAAATTTTTTTTTCTCGAGCACGGTGTCTCCTAATTTTAACTGCTCTATCTGTGATTAGTAAGTCATGCGAATCGGTTGTATTCTCTTCGAGAACCAAAAATAATCAAAAAAGAAAGGAAGGAGTACCCTTAACTAAATACAATTTTATTCTATATTTTATAAAGTGAAATCAAAATTGCTGATTTTGGTACATCAAAACGTCTTGCTGGTCTTCATCTTTGTACCGAAGGGAGTGTTGGTAAGGTCATATGCAAATTTTAACAAAAATTGTAAAATTGAACAAAAAAAACTTATCCGTTTAGGAACTCTTCAATATATGTCCCCTGATGTTGTTCTTGTACCACCGATGGGTTATGGACCAGAAGTATATAATTAAACAAAAAAGAATATAATTATTTGATTTATTTTCTTTTGTCATATGGTATTAGGTTGATATTTGGAGTGTTGGATGTACAGTTATTGAAATGGCAACTGGTAAACGACCATTTCATAATATAACAAATAATTATGCATTATTATTCAAACTTGGCAATGAAAAACAAGCACCTGATATTCCACCTGAATTATCTGATACAGCTAAAGATTTTCTAGCCAAGTAAATAAGAAATACATAGATTGTAATTTTCATCATAATATTCATTGTTGTTTGTTTTTATTTTTGTGTCTGTCTAGATGTTTTGAACCAGCAAATAGACGTCCATCGGCTAAAGATTTATTAAATCATCCATTTTGCAAGTATGTTTTTTAATTTTGAAGATATGTGTTAAAATAGTAAAAAGATAAATAAAATAAAGTAATGAGAGAAAGAGTATATTTCAAAAAAATAGTTTCTTATTTGTACTTTATCCTATATCAATAAGTAACTGCAAACTCATGACTCATGAAATAAGATAAGTCGAGTACTTTGATGACTATTTGATAGGCAAAAGTGATAAATAAAAAAAAACTTGAAAATAAGCTCATAGATAGGAAGTTTTTTGCAGAGATGACCTAACCTTGCACTAGTGTGTGTATTTTTCTGTGAGTTAATACGGAGTTTGTCTTGTTTTTCTTTTCGTTGTACATTGATGAACTCATTTTTTGTTGACGAATATTTAAGTGATTTTTATTGATGGTATATCTGCATATTAAAGAATATTTAAAATAAATATTGGTATAGCAAAGTTCATTTTTTCTGTAAATAGAATGTTGAAAATATTCTGTTGATTTGTTCTTGAAGAAATAAAAAAGAAAAGTCTTATTTATTGAATAATCAATTTAAGAATCATAAAATGAAGAAAAACAGAATTCATTTAGATTGATTAAAAATTAATTGAATTTGATTATTAGTTTAAGAATAAAGTTTATAAATGATCTAATGAGATGATGAAACAAATTTTCATGTTCATAAACTTTTATTTTATTAAACATATAACTCAAACTGTGTACTAATAAAACATAGAAATTCATGTTCTATTTGAGTTATTACTAATTTGAGATCATTTGAATATATTTGGACAATAGTTTACTCAATCTATAATAAGAAAATAGTTTTATTACTCTTGATCAACCAAGGTGAAATGTTAAGTCATTCTCATATGCAATACGAATGTTAATGAATATTGGAATTAAAATATTCCATAGTAACTCAACTTCAAATCTGTTCTATAGTTACAGTTAGACATGTGCACAACTAAGTTTTTATGAAGTCTTAGTTCTAACCTGATACCTTTAAATTCTTGGGTGTGGGATACTGATCTAGAGAAAATTGTTCCGGAGTTTATTCGCATTACATCTAAACAAAATATTCATTTTTTTTAGATTTACTTAGCAAACGAACTATTTAGTACTTATTTAGTCATCTCTCCTGAGCTATTTTTTTAGTTATTGGTACGATTTATTAGATAGTTTTGTTAAACCTGTAGAGCATTTTACTATAATCTTCAGATCTAGTATGGAAAGTTCTTTTTTCCCACTACGTCATCTCAATATGAATCATGGCATTAGACTAATGCAACATATAGTGGGGAAGTTTGTTTCTTTACCACAGCATATATCATCAACGTCTTATCGAATGTATTTCTATCTAAAATATGATATAATTGTTAATCATAAATAAAACTGTTCCACATGACCAACTATGATTAATCTTTGTTTTATAAAACACAACTGAGATACAAACAGAAAACTTCAAGACCGAAATCTTTGCGATTTTCATGTCGAAAACAATCGAAAAAGTTGTTGATAAACTAGGTTTACGATAGCTCATAGCTCAATGATCCATAAGAGCTGAATCAAACTACTGATGATCAGCTGTTTTCTATATAAACGGGTCAATTAACCAGCTATTTTTATCTGAGCGAGTATATTGGGCAGCTGCTTTTATGCGAGATGAATATTATGGAATAATCTATTTATCCTATCAGGTTGGTTTGTGACGAATTCCATTTTGGGTTACGTAAGTTGAAATGATGTTGTTACGAATAGATTAAAAAGGATGAAATCAGGTTTTTAGAAATCCTAGCTCATATGAAAAGAGTTCGATAGTCAATACAAGCTCACTTAGTCGATATGGAGCTGTCATAAGCCTATGCGAAACTGTTTTATCATAAAAACAATTCCATTATTTCTCATTTGATAATTCTACATGATTTCTTTTTCATTTAGAGGGAAAGCTGGATTAACACGAGAAACAAGCAGTAATAAATATTTTTTTTTTTTTTTGAGGACTTCATATAAATGAAGTAAATATTTGTATTTTCTTTTCAAGCTCCTATTGTTGTATCAGATCTTGAATTTTCGTCAAGACAAATTTCAACCGACGAAGACGGCATGTTTTTTGAGTATGAATTAATAAATTTATTGTTATAAAAATCGATTTATTATATTCTTTTTCTAGGCCAGCTCGTAATATAACAACTCAAATATCAATTGATGATTGCCGTCGCACTGAATTAGCAAGCTTTCTACGTGATAAAGAAATTCGAGTAGATGTAAGAATTCATCTGAATAATTAACTAAAAATTTAAAATCATTTATTAATTAGCTTATTAATCAATGGATGGTTTTAATAGAAGAAAAAAATGAAACTGAACGATTAAATATTGTAATTATATTTAATGTACTATCTATTCATGATTTTTTAATATTTTCTATGTATCTAGAGAGAACTTCTAATTTTATTAGATGGCATTTGTGATTATTTGGATCAAGGAAATGTAGATTCATTAGGACATGCCTTAGGTAATAGAAATTTCTTTTCTTTCTGTAATTTCTATTTTATTTACATAAATTATTTAGATCAAATATGCGATAGAACAAAAATGGATAGTGATTTACGTATTGATCTTGAACGATCATTTTATTTTTTTATAAGAGCTGTATGATTGATTATTCGATTATAGAAAAAAGAAAACATTTAAATTAAATTTTCGTTTAGGCAAATAATGTTCTTTCATCAAGAAATCTACAAGCTCCACATGTTTTATTTGCACTTGATAATATTATGCGTCGTATAGCCGAACATCTTGTTGGTCTTATTCGACCAGGTTTTTATTCTCTTTATTAATTTCGTATTGATTAGCTTTTAAAAAACAATCTATTATAGATTTTATTCCTGCTAATAGCACTATGCCACCATTGACACCAGGCACTGATTTATTAGTTGGTGCATTACATTCAACTGCATCCTCAAGTAATAGTCTTGATGGAAAGATCAATGATGAAGTAACACGTTTATATGAACAATATAGAACACTCGCTGAAAAAAATCGAGAGTAGATATAAAAATATTATTAAATACTAAAATTGGTTTATTTACTTTAAGACAACTTCATCGATTGATTAATATTGAAAATAATATTGGAACAAAAATAACTGAATTGATAAATACGAAACGAAATAACCCATCAAGGTAAATAAAAAAAAATAATAAAGTGTTGCACAAAAACAAAACTTTATTCACAAGATTTTCGAATATTCATATCTATTCAGTAATCATTCAATTTTTCGACAAATATTTAATTCGATTATAAGCATGATCAGGTCAGATATTTTTTTATAACGACGGGCGAAAGATATTAAGTAGTTATAGTATTGAGCTTTGCTTTAACAGGCTATTCTCTGTTTGTTTTGAGCCTTGAAAATGATATTTTTGTTTTTATTTTCTAGTAAAACATTCGAATTTTTCTTACCTACACAAACATCTACAGCAACCGAAAATCCGGTAAGTTTTATGTTTAATTCTCCGTTTTTTTTATATGATTTCTTTTATAATTAAGAATTTTCCAAACCCATCTGCTCCAATATCACCAGAACAAACAAATGGAACTCATATTACATCAACGTCAAGAGGAATAAAGTAACTTTTTTTGAATGGTTTTTCTTTTCAAATTCATAATATTTTGTATTATTTCTGTAGACGTTCACATGCACTTCTTGATCTCGAACAAGAACACGAACGCTTATTGAACGATGTTACTGATAATCGAGCTCGTGTAAATGAAATACTCAACGCATAAACTAATATTATTATATTTCTACTTTTTTGTGATAAATGTAAAGTTTTCTCGCATTTTTTTTTCTATTTTAATAGTTTATTATCGAGAAATTCTTTGATCAAATATTCTGTTGTTCGACAACAATTTTGTTTGTTTAACTTTATCAATATAATCCCGATTGTTCCTTCAACTTGTCGATTCGATAAGTTCCGACTATGAATCTGTTTTACGTAAATATTTCTTTTTTATTGTCTATAATCCGGTTGAAACTTTGCATTAGTGTTCATAATCTTTTGTTCACTTTCGAATTTTTTCTTGTACTATATACATATAGTATGACTCCTGTCCTTATTTGATTAAAATATACAAATGGTACAAATAGATATTGATTATTTCTATCGTTCTTAAAGTCTTAAGGAATGCTCTTTTAAGATTAGAATATTATTATAATAGAAGAGAAGAACATTCAAACGGTCTCGGAAAACTCAATAGAAAATAATATTTCAACTAAAAAAACATAAATTAATATGATCAATAACAATGATTCAGAGCGAAATCAAAAATTAGAACTGAATAGTATAGTATATTACAATTTTACTTACACTTACATACATATTCTATTTCTTTCCTTTACTCGCTTTTGAGTAAACATTGCAACATTGATACTAAAAAAAAAGTCATCTCTCTTATGAAACTCTGTACTAACAGTTTTCTACTTTTATATTGTTTGCTATTCAAGTAATAGTAAATTCTAAACATGCCTGATGAGTATCTTAAGTAACGACGAAAAGTCGTGAGATGTTTCAAATTTCTTGTCTTATTATCAATACATGAAATATGGATCTTGGCATCCAATACTTATACTATCTACATCGGATATCTGTCGTCATCTTGATCAAGTTTTTCAAAACCTTGTGAGGTATTCTGTATAGATATATGTATTTTGTTTGTGACTATTCTAAATCATTTTGAACAAATACGATACAGTCAAAGCAAATTGATGATCGTTCTTCACCGAGACACATGAAATCTAAATCATTGCATCCAAGACTCACGCCCACCCAGACTCTTGCGAACGTGTTTGAAACCGCTAAATTTTCACTAAAGTAAGTCAGTTCATTTTATTAATGAAAATAATCGAGAATAAAGAATCAAGCAAGCAGAACCAGAATTGTTACATTATAACATCAAAAAGTTGAAAACTTTCTTCAAAAGATTCGAATGTTTGTCACATGAACTTTAGATTTCTAAGAGTCTAAACTAAGTCAAGAAACGGAATGGTCAGGAATTTAGGTATGTGATTTTCAATAGAAGAATTCAGAAAGGATTCTAAAATAACGAGTAGAAAGCACAATTTATATAGTCATCCATTGTATCGGCTTGAACGAATCGAGTCATCAAAATTATTGGCACATACGCTTTTGAATAGGTGTAATTTTGTAGCCTTGTGCTAGCAACGCATTGGGACCAACTATAAAAGCTACAATGAGTCCAGCATCCATATGCCATTCAATGTGACAATGAAAGAGCCAAGCACCTGGATTATTGGCTAAAAGTCGTATCTTGGCCCAGCCTGAACCTGGTACGCTAACTGTGTCTCGTTGTAGATATGCTCCACGATACAATTCTTCGGCTTGAGGATTTTCAGAAGTTGATATGACCCAAAATTCATAACCATGAATATGAAATGGATGTTCACCCTCATCTCTATTTTCCAAAAGTATGTCGACGACGGCTCCATATGGAATTAAGTAGTGTCCATTTCCATCACTCTGTATAACTAGTAATGGACTGTCTCTTGTCATGATTGGAGATGGAATGCCAAGTCCGTTAGGCGTCATTGCCATTTGATGGAGTAGCGGTAATGTGTCCGATGTTAAACATTTCTTATTGGTTGTTTTCTGACCAGCGCGATTCATATCAGAACCATACGAGACATTGTTAAAATATGCACGACTGATGTTGCTGGAATCTGGGCCAATTGTAATGACAAGTTTTAGAAAATGGGTTGCATCCGGAACTATATTGTTTGCTCGATAGAATGGTCGAGCACCTAAAAGATTGATATCTTCTGAATCTGGATTCCTCGATCCGATTCGTTCGTCATAGACTGGATATGTAGGCAAAGAATTCTTTGAATCAAGTGATAAAATACCCAAGAATAATGGATTGAAATATATCGGATAAGGATAACGTGGAGTTGCATATGGAGCTCTATAGCTTCTAATATCAACTGGGTACATGTCTGCCATAGCTTGAAATCGAATGTAAATTGATTTTGTCGGTGGCACTTCAGCAGGTACAAGGCTTTGATCAAATTCATCCAAATTTACAAAGCAAGAAACTCGTTGAGCAACGTTAATAACCACGGAGGACACAGTGTATGGTTCCACAGGTGTTTGATCAAGTTCAATAATATGTAATGGTAATCCATCAATTGAAAAAGTATACATGGAAAATGCTGCAGCATTAATGATTCTAAAACGGATTCGTTTTGAACCGTTGGTTGGTACGAACAACGATTCAGAAAATTTCCCATTTACAACAATAGCATCAGGTATGGGTTCGATGCCTTTTGGATTGTTTGTGCTTAAAAACCAAGATAATAACTTTGTTCGTGCAAGTTCATTGTACCAATCAGCTACCATCAGTATACGCTCAGTATCATAGTATTGCTGATTCGGCTCTACTTGTCGACGAATAATCAATGGACCAATTAAGCCGTCTGCATATTGATCCAAGTGATGACCATGGTACCATGCAGTACCTGCAGGTGAAGCTTTGAATATGTATGTCATTTCACCATTACGAGAAATGGCGCATTGCGTAGCTCCCACCGCACCGTCCATGTCTTGTGTACCGTTTTGAGAAATTCCATGCCAATGAACCGTCGTCGGCTGTGGAAGTTTATTGATTACACGAATCACCAGAGTATCACCTTCGTACGCTTCGATTGGTGGACCAGGGTATTGATAATTCACTCCTACGATCGGCTTTTGAGATGTAGAGTACGGATATATATTGTCAATGATCAACGTTCGAGATACGATAGCCCCTTCCGTTGTCATCGCAGACATAGCTATCAGAAAAATCAGCAGAATTTCCATGGATTTCTTCTTTTCTTCAATAGGCTAGACAAAAAAAAACAGTGACTGATATTAAATTGTTTCTTTCACAAACATGATATATAGTGTCTGTTTTATATTATTCGAACTGGATCTTTTGGAACAGTTCAACGTTATTGTAGGAATCTAGTTATCAATTATTAACTTTCAAGAAGCTATCAAGCATCGTTTGGATTATGAATAAGAGAATATAGGAAAAGATAACCTTATCTTACGCAACAAGAATTGAATAATTTCTAAGCAAAAGAAGGCTTTCTAATTAGTGTACTGTTCGACTACTTTTATTTTTATTCTCATCTAAATCCTCGATACTTCTTCTAACTGTTCATAGAGGTGACAAAACCGCACACAACGTAGCGATATCTGCTGCGAGACACCTTCTAAAGAAAGCAAAAATTATAAACTCAATGATCTTAAGCGATTTGTTAAGATAACAAGTCGATATGATGACTTGGAAAGTTGATCGGAAGTACCTTGCTCTTAAAATTTCAACTTAAAATTTTTCTAAAAAAGATTAAATCAAAACGCAACCATTTTTAGATGAAGTTATCTTTCACACAAGTCATAAAGACATGTTGTGCTCAAGAAAAGGAAGTGATGTTACAAACCGCATGTAGAGATTTTGAAATCGTCTTGGAGAAAAACAAAATATGCCATACGACCACAGAGTAAGAAAACCTTACAAAAACTAGATATTATGAAAACATTTTCTCGAGCACTTTTTTCCACACGGCATCATACTTTATTTTCAGCAAGATTAAATCTTTTCAAATGATAGAATAATACAACACTGAACGATTATATTTCTATGTTGCTACTAAGAAACTGAATTGATAATCCATGTTATAGACGCATTTTAGGGAGACTGGCTTCGTAGTACCTAATCTTTGCTGCTTCTTTTGTATAGGAACTCTGGAAGTTTCCCTCGAGAGTAAAATAATCGTTATAGTACGAAAATAACACTATACAGGGTTAATGGTCCTACTATAGGAAAAAGTATCCTCTCGATAATAGGAGTGTCACTTTAACTTTATTTTACTTTGAATAAGGAAAGTAAAGTATTTAGAAAACAATGTATTTGACATCTAAATGAAAAATTCGACATTTTTGAACTTAACTTTGCCGATAAAGTCAAGTTAAATACTTTATTTTACCGAGTAAAGTAAAGATAAAGTGGCACTTCTACTAGATATTCATTCGCACAAAAGCATCATGAAGATACAGCATTTTCGAAAAACTTACATTTACTTGTATTTGTGTGAAATATTCTTTATCCACGACCAGATTCACAGTATAATACTGCGATATTGTTCTGAGTTAGAGCAAGCAATTCCTTGCATATATATATACGTGAGATAGCCTTGGACCCTGTGCATTCATCCGTTTACATCAATAAAATGAAAAACACAGTTTTTTGACGCATATGATTTGAATCACAAAAAACCAACGTTGTTTTTCTCTTCCTCACCTACGCTATAAACCAAAGCTTAATCGACAACAATACACAATTAAGCAAATGGTTGGAAAAATGTACGTCATATTTACGACTTTCCTAGCTTTTTTCTCAATATCAACGCAAATCACACAAAAACATCGAAGATTCACTCGCAATAGCTTCGTGGTAGAAGCCGCAAATCTCAAACAACCGAACTTCAAGTGTCCCTTTACAAATGAGTGGGGATAAGCATTCTTGAAGGCAACTTCGCTTTCTATTCAAATAGAAGATCAAGTTCAAGTTCCGACCTTGGTATCAATGTGAAACACGGCTTCAGCTCCGATGGTAGAATTGCTGCCGGATCACGTCCCAAGTTGCGATCTCGGTATCAATGTGGGACATGGCTTCAGGTCCAGCCGTAGAGTCAATATTGGTTCATGTCCATGCTTCGAATCTCGATATCAGTGCAAGACGACGATTTAATCCTGACTCTAGATCCACTACCAGTTTTAATCCCCGTTTTGACCTTAGTATCGCTGCTGGGAACACAGCTTTAATCCAAGCTCTAGAACCGCTACTAGATCCCTTTCGGCTTCCGACCCCCTTATCAATGCGAGATAGATCTTCAGCCACGGTCTCTACTGACGGATCTCTAAAAACCCCGAGTGATCCTCTCTTAACCCCAAGGGAATCCATTCAGGGTCCATCTGGGGATTCTCTCAGAGCCCTCGACAGACCCTCTCGAACACCTCACCCTAACATTCCGCTAAAAATTTTTGGGAATCTTCCTGAGGATAGACTGCAGATTCTCTCGGGATACCTCGGAGATCCTCTGGAAACCCCAAGAAGATACCTTCAGGATCCGCCCTTGGAATTCTCTGAGAAACCCTCAAGATACTTTCAGGATATTCCCTCAAATCCTCTAGAAAAGCCCTGAACCCTCTACCAGGACCAGCTGAAGATTCACTCTTAACCTCCGCAAGTCCTCACGAAATTCTTCGAAATCCTTCTACAACTCGCTCCAGGTGCTTTCAGTATCCCCTGAGTTACACTTGATCTATAAATTATAAATGAAATAAAATTTAATCATTTGTTTTCTTGGCGTAGTTCTACAACACCCTTATGTTAATTATTGAATAAAATTGAAGTAAAATTTTATCTTTTCCTCTTTCGTTAATTTAGCTTGTTGTGTCTTTTTGAATCGAAGCTAGGCACGAAGGTCGTCCTTCACGTTCGGATTCAAATTAGGCAGCTATTGTTCCCAACCTCGGTATCACTGCAGGAGACGGCTTTTGTCTCAGCGCTAGAATCACTACTAGTTCACCTTCCTCCTCTGATCTCGATATGATTGCGAGACGCGGCTTCATCCTGATCTTAGAGTCACTACTAGGTCTTGTCCCGTTGTCTATCTCGGCATCAACCTGAGACAAAGATTTTGTTTCGATCGTAGAGCCGCTACTAGTTCATGTTTCGCCTCCCGTCTCGGTATCATTATGGCACAAGGATTCAGTCACGGTCGTAGAGTTACTAGCAGGTCTTGTCTGGATTCCCATCTCGGTATTAATGAGAAGCACAGCTTCAGTACAGGTGCTACACTCTAAAAAAGGTGTTTTACGAACCAAAAAAATTCTTCTCCCGGCCACAAACTCGGCGCCCCCTTTTTTTGTTTTTTTACAAAACGAACGGTTTAGTATCAAACCACCTCTCGACAATTGCAATATAGGCTTCATACGAAGGATTTCACACTAAACCCGTCACAAAAAGTGAAAAGGGTTCTGTAGACAGGATTTCGTACTACGCTTTTCACACAAACTCAAAAAACGATTCTGTACAAAATAATTCTAACCAATATATTTTTTCTTTATCCGTCTCATTATTTAAATTTGCAAAAAAGAATTTTCTTAGTACTTTCAAGACCTGCACAGAAAAATGCTACAGAAAGCAAATACGAATCTGTCAGGAAAGATTCTGGAAAATCCACAAACTTGTGTAAGAATCGGTAAACAGAAATTATCATGATTCGCAACTTTTTTAAATGATGTTCTTTCTTGTTATATTCTATAGTCTCTCATAGGTGATCACAGGTACTACTTTTTCTACCATCTCCTTCGAGAGAAAAAGCATTCAATGTTAAATAATAAAATAGACTGATGATTTTGAAAACAGACTTGAACTATAATAATTTTAAAAATTATTTTCTTATATATAATATACCACAGAAATAATATTGATCCGGTAATGAAACTATAATAGGAAAAAGCTATTTTATTTGAAACAATAATATATACTAATGATTTTCAATGTCGACTTGAACTATAATAATAGTATTATTTTATTTTATTTAATATACCATAGTAGTAATATTCACTCGAGACTCGAACTGCTGTACGGCAAAGTGGAGCCTATGCTCTACCATTTTTATCTTTTACAGATCGAAGACGATAGTAATCTGAGAGTGCTAATGTATCAAGTTTTGATAAGTTATTGATCATGTTTTTTTTGGTGGTAAATCATAAGATTCCTGTATAAATTTGATATCGAGTCGAAAAATATTTGTTTATAAGATAAAAGTTCTCTGTCTCTTCCAAGTTATGCAAAAGTGTAAACAAAAAGTAAAACATAAAATTCACAGAAAAAATTGCAGTAGACGATTGTGTATATAGAAGAGGAATGCAAAAACAAGAAGCGCGTGACACAGTTTTAGTTGGCGTGTACTTGTTTAGCTGCAAGTCTCGCAGATTGTTTTAATGTTGTGCTGAACAAGAATGAACTTTGATTTTGTTGAAGCTTTCGTTGAACATTTGAGTAAGACTATTTACCGGCTTGAGACCCATGAGATTTATTTTTCAGTTATTCTATTCATGTCGATTTTGTAGTAGCATAGACTTTGTTTATTCATTTTGAAGCTGAAGTAATGCAAGGTTCTTCAATAATAATTGGTGTTAGTGATTCGATTTTGCCGACCTTTTGTGAATTAGTTTGACAAATAGAAACAAGAGTAGAGGCAATTGAATAATGATTCATATGATCACCATCATTATCATCATCAAAGCTTGATGGTTGGTTATTATCATCATCGTTAAGTTCATTAATGGATTTAAAATGAATGTTGATCGAGTTAATAATGTTGAAACATGATGATGAATATCTATTTTGTTCTGATTGCAATAGTGTGGCATCAACAATTTACAACAGTAGCAAAAATAAACGTCTATTATGCATTGTGGACAAGATAACACTAAATGAAAGTTTTCGTCATCCATTTTAAAATAAAGCAACTCTTCTGCTCGAGATGCTTCTTTTGCTTAATCAATCAAAAAGGTTGATTTTTCATTAGATCAAGATTCAATAAAACAAACTTACAACTACTCTGACATATGCAATATCATTGATATATTGTGATTCAATACAATGATTAGAATAATTTATTGCTTTTGTTCTGCGATTTTCAGTTTTTACATTAATTGGTTCTTTAGTTAAATGTAAAACAAGATCAAGACATCACTTAACATGTATATGTTAAACAAATTGATGTATTTTTATCACATAACAAAAAATAATTACAAAAAACATACCAAACAACGATAAGTATATCGTATACAATATCATTTATTATATTTATTTGAATGAAAATTACAAAATAAAAACAGAATGTTTTGTTTTCCTTGACAAAAATTAAAATCTGATCGACAATATGTGATTCTATTAAAAAAAACGAAAAATTTAGAAGTAAAACGAAATTTCATTTTACCATCATAGTTGATGAAATACAATTGCAAATCTGCTTTTCCTAAATAAAAACCAAATAATTAACGTTCTTTTCTATTTATCAAACATAAATATTAACAACGTTAAAAAGCAGCCAAACAAAACGTTAGTATATCAATAACAATATTACTTTTATTAGAGTTCTACATTTGCTAATAATAACTAAAAATTTTCTTTTGGCGTATAAAGAGACTGAAAAATTTCTTTTTTTATATTTACTTGGTCATTGTTTTCCACTAATTCATCTTGAATATTATGAACAGCATCATGAACAGTAGCCGTAACAATTACTGAACATATCTTATTCATTTCAAGTTTCTCTAATACATCATAATTATAATCTAAAAAATATCAAAAATATTTCTTTGCTTTTTCTTTCTTTCGTCAATTATTTACATCTTAAATGACACAAATAAACTTTGTATTGACAATCATTAAGTTCTTTTATTGTTTGTAGAAAAATTTTTCCACCACTATAATCAAGCTGACTGATTGATGAACAATCAATGATAACATGTGTTAAACTACGAATATTAACATCATAGTCATGTGATTGATTAGATTGAATATTTCGTCTTTGACCAGTTTTTAAATCAATACCAACTGTATCTAATAGACTTTCACGGAAATAATCTGCATTAAAATATATAATTGGTGATTCAAAGCGAAAAATTTTTATGTAAGGAATTTCATGAACCTTAAACAAAAGAAGATAATATGTTTAAAAGATAAAGTTTTGATTCTTTTTTACATTTGTAAAACGTTTTGCATTTTTATATACTTCACTACGTTCATATTGACCGAGAATTGTTGTACGAGGCCTAAAATGAAAAATTTGATATGAGAAACTAAAAGAAGAATAGAACAGACCGAAATTGTCGAAGAATAACCACAACAAGTGATACAATAACACCAAAAAATAGACCATAATCAACATCAAGTATAACAGTGCTTAAAAATGTTACAATCCAAACAATCTAAACAACTTAAATAAATCAAAACTTTCTTTTTCTTTTCTATTTACTGCTTCAAGTTTTGTTACATGACCAATTGTATAAATATCTTTTGTTTGTAATAATAAACCCTTTATAGCAATAACAATAATTGATGCTAAACATGCCTAAAAACAATAATAAAAATCATATCAATCGCTTCAATGTATATACAAGCAATTATCAGTCACTCACTTTAGGTAATGATTCGAATAATGATCCAATGTTTAGAATAATAATCAGTAGAGAGGCACATGAGATTAGATTAGCTAACTATTATAAACAAAAGATAGATATAACAAGAAAGAATATTTAATACCTGTGTTCGACCACCGGCATTAACATAAACACTTGTACGAGATAAAGAAGCAGCACTTGTATATGACCCAAAAAATGAGCCAATTATCTAAGATAAAAAACAAAACGATCATATTGTTTTCCTACTTCTTTTGTTAAGAACTTACATTACATGCTCCATAAGCGACTAATTCTTGATTAGAATTAACAAAATATTTAAATTTTTTTGCATAAGTTTTTACTAATGAAATGCTAATAGCTAATGCAACAATAGCAATCATAATCGCATCTTTAATTAAACTAGGCACAAGTACTAATGCTGGACCTTGTGGCTTACGAAAACTAGTAGACAATCAAAAAGAAAATATACAAATGCAAAAAGATTTCTTTGTTGAATTTACCCACGACCAATTGTATTAACAATTTTAACTTTATAACGACCATTTAAATCAAATAAATACGAAACCAATGTACCAACAATGATCTATAAAAGTTTAAGAAAAAATATCAAATGATTGTTTTTAATTTTTTTTACATACGATAATCAATTCAATCGGAATAGGTATTTGTATATTTTGAAAAAGTTTTAATTTTTTAATTTTTTTCTTATAAAATGGATCAAGATATTCTTTAACAATAACAAGAGTTATTATTGAACACGTAGATATAATTAATGTAACAAAATTGATATTTTTAAGATTAGTAAATATTTCAGCATATGTCTAAACCATTAAAACATAAGCAAATTAACTAATCAGAAAAAATTAAATCAATTAATTCTTACATAAATAATATTGAATGGTCCAACATATCGTTTAAGCGATAAACCAAGAATATCTGGTAGTTGAGAAGTAAATACCAGTATAGCAGTACCAGTTGTATAGCCGCTAATAAATGAATCGGAAAGAAAAGAAGTAACGAATCCAAGATGAAAAATACATAAAAGTAACTATAAATAAGAAGTTTTAAGTAGTTATTCTTTTTTGTAATTAAACTACCTGAGTAATTCCAACCATAAATGCTAAAGTAGTTGCAATTGTAATAGCATACGATGGATCAATCAAACCATCATCCGACCTTATTTCTATTGTAGTCTTGTTCAATAAACTTGGAATAATTGTTGATAATGTCGTTTTTACACTGAGACGATCGACAACATTGCTTGTCATCAAACTAGTGACTGCAATACCACCTACAATTAAATGTTTGTTCTATTTAGTAACGCAAAAACCAAAAGAAATCATAATCTAACCCATTGATAAATGTCTGGATGTACCAAGCAAAGCATAAATTAGTGATGGAAAAAATGATGCATACAATCCTACAATGACAACATTTATTTTAAATACAATTTTTATAAACAACATCGGTTACCAGTAATTGCCGGTAAACGAGCTAATAAAGCATAACCCATTCCTTGTGGAATTTGCATGATGGCAATCTTAGCAAAATAGACAAATGAATTTCAATATGCGATCAAGATAAAGTAATACCGTAATTCCACAAATAATATCATGTGGTAACCAATCAATTTGATAAATTTTTAACCATGATAAAAACGGAAAAAGTGTTTTTATATATGATTTACCACATTGTTTTGAAGGCACACATTTACTCCGTACGTATGTACGCATTTCGCGAAATAAAATAACCGGCGTCCGATCTTCATATGTCGTCGGAATAAATACTTGATTAAATGATTTTTGTGTTATAATCGGACGATCAACAATAATACTGTGACTTCTACTACTAATTGTTGAATGGCGTTTATCATTTTTATTGTCTGAAAGATCCATTATGTCTAAGTAAAGTTGAATAAAGTTTTTTTAGTACAAGTTTATTCAGACATTATTTATTGATTATAGATTCACAATGAACTTTATTTATTCAAGGTAGATTTTTTATGATTACCCCATGATTTGCCATAATTTTCTTTCTTTTATGAACCGTTACATAAATGAATGTGTGTTATGCTTGAGCGCCTACTATTATTGCATAAACGATAAAGGTAATAGGAAGACGTTTCATTTTAATTGTTCTGTATTTGTTACGAGTAACGCATCGAGAACGCTTGACGTGACTAACATTGACTGAGTAATTTGAATGCAAATATATCATTATTATCACGAAATTTTAATTCTTTCCTCTGAATTTGTATTTTTAAAAAGTCCTAATTAAATTTGCATTGAACTTTTTCTTAATTCTCTTTTAGTTATCACTTAAATGGTGACATCATGTCGATAGAGGGAAAGGAAAAAGTAATTACCGAATCAAAATTATACTAGTTCCTTTTTAAAGTAATTATCAGCTTTTTCAAGCATTTAAATATCAGTGCAAAAATGATCAATGAATTTTTTGAAGAGATGACTTAAAAATTCTGTCACTAGTAAAGTGCATAGGTGATACAAATGATAAACATCTAACGAGGTCACTAGGCAACATAACGAGAAAAAAATTATATGATGGATCATGGAAGAAAGAGGAACAGAAAAGTTCATTTACTAAGAAAAATACAAGCGTATGTTAAGCAAAACTTGTCGACTTAATCTTCAAAAGAAATGAAAGCTGCCGAAGATGAAAATATATTCAAAGAATTGGTAAGTATTCAAATTACTAACTTATCATATTAAGGAAGAGAAAGGAGACATTAGGATGCAATTCTATATTTTTACTGCGTTATTTGCTGAATTCTTCAATGTTTTTGTGTGTATGTCGGTTTTAATTGGTAAACATCGTTCCTTATTGAAATACTCGATATTTATGTATTTAAAAGGATTGTTAATAATTTGCAACTCTTTTTCAAAAAAATATGCTTACAAATTTTTGAGTTATTTCAATCATTATTCGATTGCTATCAATGAAGAGGATAACAAAAAAATTGAGAAGAAGTTAATATCTATAATGGAAACGAAAGAATATACTTGATGTCTCGTTTTTTATGCATGTGGACACAACGACATGAGAAACATCGAGTATTTTCTTCTGTTTCCATTATAAAGACTAGTGTTCTCTCAATTTTTTAATGCTTTATTGATGATAATTGAATTAGGATTGAATTATCTGATAAGTTTCGAGTATATCATATTGAGATTAGTTGCATAATATCAACAATTGTTTAATATGAAAAATCGTTGACGTCAATAGTTAAATTAATATATGTGGTCTTATTTGAAGTATCTCAGGTTAAAAGACCACATCATAAAGGACCATATACAGAAAAATATGACGATATGCATGGCTGAGTAATGCGATTATATATTTTCGCGTTGTATACAGAGAAAGATGGTGAGATACGACGAGAAAGCTTCGTTTATACTCATCCCATACGAAGACCGTATGCGATCTCCGCTCATATCCGTTTCTCTCCGTATATAATCATATTGCTCCGTACAACGTTACGGAGATATACAATCGGAGGATTGAGCATCGCAATACCATAAAATATTGTCGTAGACGGATAAATATGAAACGTGCACGTGATTGTTTCTAGGCGTATGTGAACTCCGTATTCGTCGATCTAGAATGCTTCAATTGTCATTGTTTGATTTCTATTGATTTTTCGTGTATAATTTGTATATACAAATTAATTTCATTCAATTTCTTTAGTAACAATTTTCAATTGATTTTATTTTCATAGTGTGAGTCAAACGGAATTAATTACGACGCATTTCAACGTAATCATGGTGGAGTCGATACAAATATTGAAGTTCTTGAAATGTTCTTTTCTGGTTTACCTCGTCTGATAAGTCTTAAACCATTTCCAAATCTACTTAAGCTCGTTATTGTCAATCAAACTATTGAACGTATCGAAGGTTTAGATGCATGTACCAATTTACAAGAACTTTGGATTACTGAATGTAAGCTTCAAGTATGTACATACCTTGGTTTTGCATCTGGGTTTTATTATGTGTTTGCGCACATATTTTATATTAACGCATTAATCGAAGAAGAAAAAAAACGAACGAGTATATATATGTCTCTTTCTTTCGTAGAAATATATAATAGAACAGGAAAGGAGTCACGATTACAACTGCATACGATCTAACATTATATGCATATAAAATAATATTGCGAAAGAATATATAATATATATGCAAAAATTTTCAGATCGAATGAAAAAAGTACTTTTATGAGTGTGACGAAACAAGTGTGTGTGAAGCACGGATATATGTATTATCACTGTTATGTTTTATAGCAAATTGAAGGTCTTAGTGGATGCCCTCACCTTCAACGTTTATATTTGTACGCCAATGCAATAAAAGCAATCGAAAATCTCAATGGATTAAAACGACTCGAACATCTATGGCTTAACGAAAATATGATTAGCAAAATTGAAGTACTTATTTTCCGTTGCACTAAGTTTCATAATGTTCTATTTTTGTTGATCATATAAGGGTTTATCCGGTGCAAAACGTTTAAAAGAACTTAATCTTGCTTCAAATCAAATAAGATTTATCGGTACGCCTCTTTTTCGTTTTTAATTAATAAAGAAAAGTGTAGATTTTTAGGTACATCACTTGCTGAAAATACTGAACTTGAAGTATTAAATCTTGCTGATAATAAAATCAGTTCATTTCAAGTAAGCATTGCTTTTTTGAAAAAAAAATTCCTATTCCGAATGAAAATAAAATTGTTCATTAAAGGACATTACTATATTAACCATGCTACCAAAATTGCGCAATATTGCTTTTAGTGATCCGGTTTATGGAGGTAGAAATCCTGTGGCCTCTATGGCAAATTATCATGTTCATATTTTATATCATTTACCACAACTTGAATATATTGATGGACTACATATTACTACAAGACAAGTTGCTGAACAAGCTGAAGTAAGTTAAGTATAGTTGTTCAAAAAGACATCTATCGAAACAATTGTTTTTTTTTCATTTATGAAATCACTATTTTCGTGATGTTTTCTAGTAACTTCTATTTTCTTTTATTAGGCTACAGTAACTAAAAAGAAAATGTGGTATCATATGAAATCTAAAACATTAGAACGAGAATATGATGAATTTCAAGTACGTCTTCGACAATTAAGAAAAAAGAATGAACATGTACCTGAAGAACATATACGTTTATTAAACAAATATCTTCAACGTTTAAAACAAGAATTACATTTACCAGAACGAAATTCTCAAACACGTTCTGCTGCTGGTGATGTAAGAATTATTTTTGTTGAAGATAAACATTCATCTATGTTCTTATTTAGCATAATGAACGTGAAAGATCCGAAAAACAAATTGAAATATTACGACAACGCTTAACTGTTTGGCAAAATATTTTAAACAAGTAATTGTCAATAAATTAGACTCATACTAATTCAATGTTTCAAATTAAAAAGATTTATTTTTTTTTTTTTTTTGTATTCAAATTTCAAAGCTTGTTTTTTTTACTGATACATCGAATATTTGAATTAATGAACTAATGATCTTTTTCTTTTTGTTTTTTTTGTAATCTAGTTTTGCTGCTCAATATGAAACTGCTCATATGATTTTACTTCAACAAAAAGCTCAACTTGCATCACGTATTCAATTAGAATTAATTAGTGGTGGAAATATTCGTTTTGAAGAAGGAGATGTTAATGATGTTTGGTAAAAAGACTAAACAAAAGATTTTTTGTCTTCGATTATAATTATAATTAAATCTTATTTTTAAGGTTTAATGCAGCCAAAGATCTTCTTCTATCACGTTTTTGTTCCTCGATCTATAGTCGTTATCATATAACTGGTATTAAAATACATCGTATAACAAGATTGTTTAATCGACCAAAAAAATTACAATTTGATCATAGTCTAGATTTTATTCTTGATGAAGATGATGATCCAATCAAGTATTAAAATAACAACAACAGAAACAATTATTTTTATTTGAATTTTTCTTCTAGAACAAAATCAATTCAATCAAAACTTGAATATTTATTCTATTGTATACAACCATTACGTCGACAACAAAATGATCATATGTATCAGTTTACAACTATAGAATCAATTTCTGAACATGGTTTTCCAAATGCTGAAATATACAAAGTTTTTTTTTTTAATTTTTCGTAAGATATGAAACTGTAACTTATTTTTTCTATTAGCAATTGGGTCAAGAAGAAGCCATACCATTTTCAAATTCACTTGCCGTTAGTGATTATCTTCGTATTGAACAAGCTGGTTTTCAAAATCGAGATAAATATCGTTTTGGTAAATCGAATTACTTAGTTTTAATTAAACTCTTTTGTTTTACATCGTCAATCTTATTTAAAGGAAGTGTTCTTATGGCTAAAATATACATTGGTTCATCGACAACAACGCCAGTAAAAGAGTTAGTTTCTATTTTTTTAAAAATAATATACTTGATCAAATATTTTGCTTTTTTAGATTACCATTTCCTGACTACACGCCAGATTCAAGGTTGGTTGTTTATCGAATAATATTAAAGTCTTACTTAAAAGTGGCTTCTCGTTTATTTAATCACTTTGTTACAATATCTATATAGACATGCAGGATGATCCCGAAGTCACCAAGCAGTTTTGATTGTAAATTGCTTTTGATTGAAACATGAAAGAAAGTTATGGATTTTACCGTTGAAGAGAAAAACATTTTAAGCGAATTTTGAACTATCAAGGTTTTCGAAGTTTCCATCCTTTCTGCCCAATCAAAAAACTACACAGTTATTTTTGAGCTATCCTATATAATTGTGACCTTTTCGGGCATTAGAGTTCTAGAAAGTCATAACTTTAGTCAATACATTGTTTTTCTCATAGTGTTTGTCTTGTCATCCGAGCAACATAACTAAAACTTACCAACAATTGATCTCAGTTATGTCTACCTTCGGCTCTAATCTACGATGAAGAACGATAGGTAGAATTATTCTATAAGACGGTACTCTGTTAATGAAGTGATCAAAGTACTGTTACATTATTAAAAGTAAGAACTGCATATCATTTCAGTTTTGTGAAACATCATCTAAAAAGGAGTGTTAAAGTATATAGAGTCGAGATTTGCACTTTCTACCCCACATTCAAGAGATTGACAGACATTGTTGATATACGGTCAAAGACAGTATATCAATAATGTCTCATAATACTATATGCACAACTTGCTTATTGCATTTCTTGAGTATTAAGTAAAATGACGGTGAAGAAATATGTCCCAGGGTAGAATAAACTTCTATGATTAACTACAGTAGTTATATTGTCTTTTGAATTTCAAACTCTCAAGGATTGTGCCAAAAACTTTTATTTTTATTATTGTCATTTGTCTATTGAATTCCTTCATAATTTTAATGCTAAATAAGCTACATTCGAAATTCTTCGATATTTATTTAGTATAGCATCAAAAAATTTTTCAAATCATGCTAGCGTATCTCGTCATGCTATCTTTCCTGAACGTGCTATTTCAAAAACAGGTACGAATAAATAAAAATAACAGAAAAATCTACGTTTTTTTCTGTCTTGTCAATATTCTTAATCTGATAATCAGTTTTAATAAAGGACATTGTGATTGTGGAGCTCAACAACAACAATGGTTTTTATTTGATCCATTACATGCTTATGCTGAATATATTATTGAATATGAATATTTATTTTCTGTAAGATAATTATTTGTTGTAAAAACAAAAAATTCATTAAACTAAATTAAAAATTTAACCTAGGTTTCTAATAATACACTTAGTGATCAATTAAGTCGAATAAAACTTGAAAAAATCGATGATTCAATTGTAACAACATATCAAGAAGAAATAAGTCGTGATAATTTTATATTACCATCAAAAGATGATGAACTTCCACCAAAAATGTTCGTCATCTATTTTCTTTTAATTCTTGTATTTATTTTTTTTTTGTCTTTTAAATATTATTAGAAGTGAATTAACTGAAGATAAACTTTTAAAAATAGTAAATGAAACAAATTTATCAAATATAATTGAACTTAATTTAGCTTGTTGTAATTTACAATCAATAAAAATTTTATCCGAATTAAAAAGTCTTCGTACACTTAATTTAACATTTAATGATTTAGTTAAACTAGATGAATTATGTTATTTTTATGCACTTGAATCAATTGATTTAAGTTATAATAAATTAACTACATTAGATGGTATAAAAGGTTTAACAAAATTAATATCATTTATTGCAGCAAATAATTTTCTTAAAAAATCATTGGATGATATATTAACCCTGAAACGTTATTGTACGAATTTATTGCATCTTGACCTTCGTGGAAATCCACTTGATAAAGTAAGAATGATATATAGACAATTTATGTTTAATATTATATAATAACGAAGAAAATACAACAGAAAAAAACATTTTATTATAAGATTCTAAGGAGAATTGAAGAAGATTTTAGGTTTCGTTTGAAACAAATATGAAATGACTTTGTCTGATGGATGGTAGAGAACCTTTTTCTCCAGAAAAATTTCGAAATTTCTGTGAAATTTTAGCTTTTCTTCTATCCGTAGAAACGATCGGGAATCATAATCTTGTACATTTCTATTTTTGATGGATCATCATCGTTCTTGAATATTTCTTCAGATTAAAGTTTAGTCTTTTCTGTTTTATTAAAACTTGAATTGATTTGATATTATAACAGATATAGAAGCTCTAGTGGTTGCGCAAACTAACTGAGATTGCCGGTATGTTGAGCAGTTGCTTTGAAGAATGTCTCAGAAGAATACGAATTTTTTTTTAAACGGTCTAGTTTCACTGGACAATAATGAACAATCTTCAACAACTGAGGAGCACACATTTCCTTACTCACTTTTGTGACCTCTGAGACGTTCTCATAAAATTTTCTTTCATAATATTTATCAATGATTTCAAGTTGAGATATTTTAATTTAAAATTCTCAAAACAAACATACATTATCTTGTAGGTAAATCAATATTGTATCTAATGTGGATCGAAATAGCTGCGCCTATGCGAAGTTTGTAATCATTATAACATGAAACTTCTATTTATCTTTCGTCAAGTCAATGTTTATTCCTTCAGAGATTCAAATCGCTTTTCCGAAAATGAAAATGTGTCCTAAACTTTTACTTTCGATTGGATAATTTTTCATTCATTCATAGAAACTATCGATTATGGAGTAATAAAATTTTGGATCAATATCGTGCAGTCTTCAATAAGCTACAAATTTAAAAAGAAAAATTAAACTTCCTTTCATTATTTCTTGGCTACAATTTATCATTTGGAAAAAATGATTTTTTCAAAAAAAATTTGTTTTGATTTTTTTTAGTTACACAAACTGATGATTCGGATGTTTGTCAGGTGGATATATACTACTAAGAACATAATCTATTTGTAGAGTTGTTGTTAAAAATTTTCTTGATTACAGATGTGAAAGTAGCATTTTTTACCAATTCGTAGTCAGTAACATGCAAAAATGTTTTTTCTAGAATTGTTATTTTATTTTCAATAATAATACAATATTCATTCTAAAAACTTGATTAGAACTACTAACCAGTTAAACAGCATTCCACGGTCGTTTTTAAATAATTCTTTAAGAACAACAGATAAAAATCTATAGTTTTTATTACGGTCTTCCATTTCGGCAAGACTTTAACAATAGGAATGGATGATTTCGAATAGGGAATCAGAACCAATGTTTCCATATTGTAAAAAGAAAACCAAGACTAACGATACTAACCCGATCTCGGAAGTAAAAGACCTAATTTCACTCCAACAATAGCCACTTTTACAAATATCTAACCATGTATCATCCTTTGAGATGATGCATTTTCCAAAAAAAAAAGTTAATTCATAGTAAGTACCCTTCCAGCTGTCTACAGATATAATAACAGCATAGCTGCAAAAAAAAATTTCCATTTTTTTGATTTCATTCAAAATGAATGACCCATTTATGATCCATTCTTCATTTTCACAATGAAATGTGACTTCACTCAAACATAACCATATCAATGCCATAAACAACATCGAGTTAAATACTTCTACTGTATAGGAAATTAAGCAAAACTCACTTCGTCTTCTTTTTTCAATATCTATAGATGCTCAATTGAGTACTTTGGTAAATGTAAATGTCGATAATTATTGACGAAGATAAAAAAAAATTGCTAATATTTGAAATTCAAATCAAATGAATTTTTTTTTTCTTTCTTTTAAGCCGGAAACTTATCGAGCTCGTACACTTGCATTATTACCTAATTTAATGTCAATCGATGGAATAAAAGTAACTAATCACGAACGTCAAAAAGCTGAAGAATGTCAATCAGAAGAATCATGTTCTCATGTAAAGAAAATTTCTTAAATTCTTTAAAAAAATATTTCTATTTTTTCATTTTTTTTTTAAAGGAAAATCTTATCCTTCATAGTCGTACTCATCTATATCGTCCACGAGATTTACGTTGTCATTTTATTGCTAAATATTATGATATGTATATTAATGATCCACTTGGTATTCATCAACCAAAACTTGAAGATATCTATTGGGCGTCAACAATTACGAGTCTATGTTTAAATAATGTTTATCTAACAAAACTACCTGATTTATCAAATATGATTTGTTTACGTTGGGCATCATTTGATAATAATTGTTTAACACAAATTCGAGTAAATAGGGTTTTTTTTTGTTTTGTTTTAACATTTCGAAAAAACAAAGTTCATTTTTATTTTTTTTTTATTTTTTCTTTAGGGTCTTGAACAACTTGTTAAATTAGAAGAATTATCAATAGAAAATAATTTTTTAACAATTATTGACGGTATTGAAAATTTAACAAGTTTAAG